GCTGGATGGCAAAGCCAGCATTCGAACCTGGATCCCCTGACACTCCTTCCGGTATATTCCAGACTCTTTGAGGAAAGAAAAGACTATACTATGTCATCAGACTCTCACCCCATTGCCAACCTTTTTGTTGCTGTTGTTTTGAGACAGAGTCCCATGCTTTTGCCCAGGCTGGAGTGCAGTGGCATGATCTCAGCTCACTGTAACCTTTGCCTCCTGGTTACAAGCGATTCTTCTGCCTCAGCCTCCTGAGTAGCTGGGATCACAGGCACCCGCCCGGCTAATATGTTGTATTTTTAGTAGAGACAGGGTTTCACCATGTTGGCCAGGCTGGTCTTGAACTCCTGACCTCAGGTGATCCACCCACTGAGGCCTCCCAAAGTGCTGGGATTACAGGTGTGAGCCACCATGCCCAGCCCCCGCCAGCCTTCTTTCTATACACAAAAGCACACAAAGGAGAAGTGGCTCTAGTTAGAAAACATCAAGGTGGCTCAGAACTCATACCCTCCTGGGGCTCTCCCTGCAGGAATCTCCTAGGAGCCCGAGGTAGCAAAGCCCGTTCCGCTTTTGCATCAGGCCTGACAGGCTGACCCCACACCAGCCCACCTCCCATCGGTGTTGACATTCCCCTCAGCTCAGTTCCCCATCTGATCAATATTTATTCACTATTTTGAGCTGGTGCACTTGCTCTGGCGGCACGTCCTCTGCCTGCATGCCTGGAGAGGGGGAAGCCAGTCAAAGGGACTCCAAAGAGCGTGACATTTGCATCTTCTGTAGCCACCGTCCCCACAGTGGCTCACAGATCACTTCAACTCTGATTTACCAACACAAGGAAGTTTCTTTCTTTCCTCTCTCTTTTCTCTCTTCCTGCCCTCTCAATTCCACTTGGCAATGCTTGCAAGAACACAGCCCCGGGGCCTGATCAGTCGTGTTCTCTTGTCTGCCACGGGGAATCTGTGAAAGCTTCTTAGGCCACAGCAAGGAGGAAGGAAGAAGATCCAAGCATGGGTCCCAGTGCAGCTTCTCTCACTGCCAAAAGGAGCCTGGTGGCCAGCAGGTATTGAGGAGTCCTGGGGGCTGGGTCAGGGTGGCCACTGGGCCGAGGGAGTGGCTGAGCACCCGTGTGCCAGGGCATGTGGCAGGGTACTGCACTGAATCCTGACACCACGCCTGGGAGGTAGGGACCACTATCTCCATTTCACAGATGAGCAAACTGAAACTCACACTGGACGTGGTTGCCCTCTTGGTCAGTGGCCAGTCTGGAACTCAAACTCAGGTCTGCCTGATTCCCACACTTACACACTATCTTCTTTAACCATGACGCCCCCAAGGTAAGAGCTGTCCAGACAGGTCCAAGCAAGTAAGATCCTAGCTGGTCAGTCTCTTTCCTGGAAAAAGCCACCTTCCATCAAAGCCATTCCCAGCAAGGTCATTATCGATCCCAGCAAAATCAGATGGCAAGCCCTGAAGTAGAATGCCACCCCCATGCCCCTACCCCACCGGAAAGGCTCTGGGCAGGGACCTGTGTCCTTGGGCAGCGTCTTCCTCCCCTCTCCTTCCTCCCTCATTTCAAGTCCACACGGTGCTTGATTTAAGAAGTTGCTTATAGAACTCCCTCCTCATTGCCCTGTGGGCTCCCTTGTGAAGGCCACAAAGGTCTACTCCGTCCTGCATCTGTGGATGGTCTGTTACTGCTGACCTGCACAAGCGCAAGGCTGCTGGAGAGGGAGGAGAGGGAGCAATGATGAAGCCCAATTAAGTGGAGCAACCCATGGTCAGCACAGGCAGAGCACACAGGTGGCATGTGTGACTCATTTCAGGGTGGCAGCCTGGCGTGACAGCTACAGCACAGGGCCTCAAGCCAGCCCATTAAGTTTGCATCTGAGCACTGCCATACCCCATAACATCTTGGGGAAGATAGTAACCTCGCCACACCTCAGTGTGCTTGTGTATAGAATGGGTTGCACCACCAGCCTCACTGCGTCCTAATGGGGATGAAACGAGGTATTAGTCATACAGTTTTGGAATGATGTCTGGCACATGGCGAGGGCTATGTAAGCGTGAGTTATTTCTTAAATATATGTATTTTTAAATATCTACATGTGGTTTTGGTTTGGTTTGCAGTAGTGCTATTAAAATCCTCCTAAAATGTTTGATATGATTTTTCCACTCTGGAAGGTACAGCACAAAAACTCCACTTCACACTAAAAGAGGAATGTGGCAAATACGTCTGGTTAATTGATGCTCTGCATGGCCTTGATTGTGTAAACAACATCTTTGCGAGGTTTTCAGAGCCCTTTCTATTTACTCACTTGCTTGAACGTAGGAGGTAAAGTGATGAAGCCATACGGCTGGGTTTTTAGAAAACACATCAGACCTTAAAGATTCAATGTGGTCACCTCGGCAGGCTGTGATCACCCCCATCGCTCATGATGCTGGAGGTGCGCCTTGCAGGGGAGGGGATGCGCTGGGTGGGAAAATGCCAGCTGACTGCTTAGTCAGCCTCAGCAGCCTCTGTCCGTCTGTCTCCGTCTCTCTCCTCTCTTCCAGAGCTTCTTTAGAGGTGAGGAGGACCCGAACCATCTAATACAATTTTCTAGGTGAGGCAACAAAGATTGAACAACAGTGCCTGAAAGTCACCCGTAAATGACTAGAAGGCAGTCACTCCACCGTGTAAACTCACCACAGAGAATGTCATCAACCTTACTTACTGGTACGGCTTCTAAATGACTTTGTATTTTCCTAAAAAATTGAATCAATTTTTAAAAGATGAATGGGCCAGGTGCAGTGGCTCATGCCTGTAATCCCAGCACTTCAGAGAGCTGAGGTGGGTAGATCATTTGAGGTCAGGAGTTCAAGACCAGCCTGACCAATATGGCGAAACCCCATCTCTACTAAAAAAAAAAAAAAAAAAAGATACCTACAAAAGATATTTCAAAAAAATTAGCTGGATGTGGCGGCAGGTGCCTATAATCCCAGCTACTCAGGAGGCTGAGGCAAGAGAATCACTTAAACCTGGGAGCCAGAGGTTGCAGTGAGGTGAGATTCTGCCACTGCACTCCAGCCAAAAACAAAAAAAAATTACCTACCCCCACTGAGACTCTTAAAAAATGAGCAACAAACAGGTGATGAATCTGTTTACTTGTATTAACAGAGTATGGGCCAGGAGCATGGGTGGGTCACGCCTGTAATCTCAGACTTTGGGAGACTGAAGCAGGAGGATCCCTTGAGGCCAGACAATTGGGATCAGCCTGGGCAACATAGTGAGATTCCATCTCTACCAAATAATACAATGAATAGGGTGTAGTGCACACACCCGTAGTTCCAACTACTTGGGCGTCTAGGGTGGGAGGATCGCTTGGACCCAGGAGCTTGAGGTTGCAGTGAGCTATGACCATACCACCACACTCCAGCCTGGGCAACAGAGTGAGACCCTGTCTCAAAAAATCATAAAAATATTTAAATAAATACATAAGTTTTTAAAAATATGCAGCATGTGACCAGTCTCAGCATACTTGGGAGGGGCAGCCCAATTTAAACTGACTTCACAGATTAGAAAATGCTGGTAAAGAATTTCTTCAGCTGGCAGTGAACACCGGGGCTTTGATCTTCGTGAGTAAAGCAAAGTCTACATCTTAGGCATTTGACAGTCTATGGCTGGGAACTAGAGACAGGTGCATATGTGTGGATGCACACATACACACACACACACACACAAGCCCCTTTCAGCATGAAGTGAGGCCGTCGGTGAATGCGCACGCGCGCACACACACACACACAAAGCCCCTTTTGGCAGAAGTGAAGCCATGGGGGCATGCACGCACACACACACACATGCACACACACACAAGCTCCTTTGGCATGAAGTGAAGCCATAGCAGGTGGGCTATCAGACCCTCAGAGGCAGGAATCAGCAGGCAGCTGACACTGGGAGGCTAAACCAGAGACCCGGTAGGCTCCTCAGTGAGCAGGGCGAAAAGTCTGGATTGGCCAAAGGTGTCCATCCTGGCAGGCCTGGGACCACCATCAGAAAGGTCTGTGGGAGACAGGAGGGCACCTCCAGGGCCTGAGCATCCCCGTCAGGGTAGGACCAGCAAGAGCAGTGCTGAGCCCAGTTCTGGGAAACCTGTGTGCCAAGTCGATTGCAAAGGCACAGCCTGGAGTGCCAGGAACTAAGATGACGACACTGTGTTTGGTCTTGACACCAGGTAGGTGCTCTGCTGTGAGGACCACTGTGGGTCAACATGGGACCTGAGACACTGCTCACTCAATCCTGAGCTTCTGAATTGGCCACCTTATATGGCTTCACACTTGACAAGGTATCAGAGCCTAGAAAAAGCAGTGAGCCAGACTTACAGACAGAGGCATGCCCCGATCAGGAATCCTCAGGGCGCTGGTGGCAACTGACTTTCATAGACAGAGGCATGCCCTGACTACATCCCCAGGGCGCTGGTGGCAACAAACAATGGGAGGCCATGACTGCCAGAGAGCTAAGGTGATATAGGCCCTGGATTGCATGGCTGCAGGGCTTCCTACAGTAATTCAAGAGACTAAAAATTAGCCCTGTGGCCGAGCGGTGGCTCATGCCTGTAATCCCGCACATGTTGGGCCGAGGCAGGGCAGATTACTTGAGGTCGGAGTTCGAGACCAGCTGGGCCAATATGAAAACCCCATCTCTAATAAAAATAAAAAAAAAATTACCACATAAAGTATACACACCTGTAATCCCAGTTGTCATGGGGAGGCTGAGGCATGAGAATTGTCACAATTGCTCGAACCCAGGAGCCAGAGACCACAGTGAGCCAAGATCGCGCCACTGCACTCCAACCTGGGTAAGAGTGTGACTGTCTCAAAAAAAAAAAAAAACAAAAAATCTATCTCTGGTGGTCTCTACCAATCTTTCCATGATTAACTTCCTGTTTTTGGTCTCTCAACACCAATTTCAATGTCTAGTCTCAAATGTCTTAATGTTACTAGAATTCATTCACACCATTAAATTAACAAAGATGGCAACATTTTACTCTTCCAGTTCTATTTGCATATTTTGAGAGAATCACAAATAAGAATCATCTCAACCAAAGGAATGAATAATCGTAATCGTAAAATTTCAGCCATGTGATACTTGGATAGGGAGACATTTCAGGGCAGAGTAAAGCTAGCTAGTATCCATTCCTCCTTCATAATCGCACCTCACTTTCCTCCCGGGAAATTTTCTCTCCCCCATGATGTAGCCTAAGGGCTTACCTCCTATTAGAGATACCAGACATGACATATATATCCTCCCTCTCACACCCAACTATGGCAGAAGGCAGGCATAAGGCCCAGTTCAGTCACATGGGCAATGGTTGGCAGCAGAATGATGACCCTGCAGATCCTGCCTTCCAGTCCCTCAGATGCCCTCTGGTCGCCGCCCTCGCCTCCCGTGATCCCTCCACCTTCCATGAATTCTGTGAGCCACCTTCTCCCATAGCCTTCCAGTAAAGTACTTTTTAAGTTAAATGGTCTTTGCTGTTTGCAAAGAACATGGATTCCTAAGTGGATGCCATGACTACGTCTACCCTCAGTAAGGCCAGCGATGGCTGGACAGAGACCTGGCTGGCTCACTGTACGCCTTCCATGCAGAGGTTGGAAGGCAATACACCACAGTGATAAATGTCGTGAACGGATGCTGCTCACATATGTACAACCAGAAGCAAAAGCCATTGAGAGGACCTGCGATTGGGAGACAGGAAAACTGCATCCTGTTGTCCAGTTGAAATGGGATGGGCTCACATGTAGCCCTGAAGGCCAGGCCGACAGTAGAAACATCCTCTTGCCTGTCAGTCTTCCATTCGCCCTCCTGCCATGGGTATGCACTCACACGTGCGTATGAACATGTGCAAGCCTGCACGCGCCCGCACACACATGTACACATGCTCACATACATGCACACACACACTTGGCCGGCAGGCATCCTCCTGGTCCTCTCTGGGGAGAATCTCTCTCGGAGACTATGGCAGGCCGAGCATCCAAGTGCGGCCTGGGTAGCAAGTGGAGACACAGGAAAGGAAGGACTAGAGGGAGACCCAAAAAATACTTACGCTTTCAGACCATGACCCCAGAACATTTCACAATCATCTCCTTCTCTGAGGGACCCAAAAGGCCAGGTCACTGCACTCACAATTACACATCTCAAATAAGCCAGGAGTCCCAGAGGGACATACCACTTTGCTCTATGTAAGACTAACAGGGCCACCCAGACAGCCTGACAATAGAACGTTCCCAACGTGCGATGCCAAGCTGTCGCTCCCCACCATGCCCGCATCCGCTACATTCTCTTCCAGTCTGGGAGCCACAGGCATTTGCGCTGACTGGAGAGGTGAGCAAGGAGGGAACAGAACAGCCCACCAGGCTCAGCACAGCAGAGACCCGCAGATCCTGCCCCCAGTGTCAAACCACCTCCTAACGGAACTCATCTACCACAGTGCGGACACACGGGTCAGACCTATGGGTGCACACACATGCACACAGGCACACGCACGGACACACATTTCCCCAGCCCACCGGGAGCACCACTTATGCAGGTTAACACTGGACCAAGAACAAAACGGGGGCAAAACCCCACAGGACCGAGGCAGAGGCGGCTTGCTTCCTAGCACGTTTATTGGAGCCTTGGTTAAGCGTGGATGTGGATCAGAAGCCCCCACCAGAGCCCAGCCAGGCCGACTGGAGCAGGGCACTGGGGGGCAATGTCCTTTTTCCCCATTATAGACAACAGTATTAAAAAAAATAAACTTTACAATAATACATTTTCGCTCATCTGTTGGGGTATTGTTTCCATAGTTCTGTTGCTTAAAAAAAGGAAAGAAAGGGGAAAACCACACAATATATGTATATGGATGTATATATACATATATGTTGGGAGAGGAGCCCCGGTGTGTACATACAATTGACGTATGTCTAGGAAATTAGGAAAGAGAAAGTGGAAAGGAGGAGGAGGGAGAAGAGAGCAGGAGAGCTCGAGGGAACAGGGTGCTGCAGATAACACACCCGGCTGTGGTCTCTCCTCTCCCTCTCCCCAAAGGGAGACCTCCCAAAGGACCCATGAGAAACCAAAAAAAGCCAACAAAGGACCATTTCTCTCTGACTTCAACATTTCTGCCACCAAGAAAGCAGCTGATGCCCGAGTTTTGCTGCCTCACCACAAGGGGCTCTCCCAGGCAGGCTGAGCTCCCAAGCCCTCCTGGAGCTGGCCCCAGCCCCACCACTCTGTGCTAGTCAGGGGGAGCCCAGCACAGTGCTAACCCCCTCCACCGCCATCCGTGGGGAAGTCCCCACACCAGCTGCAGACCCCCCAGCCCCACCCGAGGGCAGAGAGGGAGGGCAAAACCACCTCCATCCTCGAAGCCAAAGGGCTGAAGGTGGACCCCCGTGGCCAGCCCCGCTGTCCCGCTAACCGATGCCCTCTGCCAGCCCCCAGCAGTTGCCCAGAGTGGGCAGCGTGGGGAAGCAGCTGTGCCCTCTGCTGGCCCCCAGTAGGTGCCCAGAGTGGGCAGCGTGGGGAAGCAGCTGAGTTGTCCTGCCCCCAGCCAGCTTCAGGCACAGCCCAGAGTCCCTTCCACTGCAGGCTCTTGTCCAGTCTCTTGCTTCAGAAGGGTCCAGAGAGAAAAACACCAAGAGAAAGAGAAGGGCATTTCTAGAGCCTCGTGCCCTCCTCGGCACCAGAGTTTCCCCTGCCAGGGGACCCCTGGGCCAGCTCTCAGGCTGCCCGCCTGCTTGTCTGTTTGGTTTACAAAAACTTCTCCAGAGAAGAAACCTGGGAGGAGACAGGTTCAGCGACAGGTGGGAAATACAATTTTTTTTTGCAAGGTGCATGTGTGTCTGTGTGTGTTTCCATTTCGTCAGGCGGCTGTTCTTGTCTGCGTAGTTTTCGAAAATCTTCTGACTCGGTTCCCACAGCCTACAAGGCCAGTTTCAGCATCAGGACAGACAGCACGGTCAAGGCAGCCGATGGTCTGGCTCTGCTGGGGCCTGAGTTAGGTTTGATCACCTTGTTACTCCCTGGGATGATATTTGTCGTGAGCTGAGTCCAGAGCAGGAGGAGAATCAGGAACAAAGAGAATGAAAACAAAGAAAACAATCAGGAGGCCTGGGACCAGGCAGAGAAATGGAGTCGGGAACTGGACACCTCAAGCCCCTTTCTTCCATCCACAGGGACCCTCCTTTGCACTCTGAAGGGAGTGCTGACTCTCCTGGAGCTGGCCCAGGCAGGAGCAAAAGGGAGTGCTCTGTCCCTTCTGGTCGCAAGCCCTGGGGTTTGGAGAGGAGGGCAGTGGTCACCAGGAAAACAGGCTACTCCTCCCTGCATCGGGGCTGAGGACCTGTGTCCCAGTGAGGAGGCAGATGGTATAAAGAGCTGAAGGAGAAGGAGAGAAAAAGGAGAGGAGAGAGGAAGGAGAGGGGAAGGAGACAGGAGGGGAAGGAGAGGGGAAGAAGGAAGGGGAGGGGAAGGAGAGAGAAAGGGGAGGGGAGGGGTAGGAAGGGGAAGGGAGGGGTAGGAAGGGGAGGGGAGGGGTGAAGAAGGGTGGGGAGGGGAAGGGAGGGGCATGGAGGGGAGGGGTGGGAAGGGGAGGGGCAGGAGGGGTATGGAAGGGAGGGGGTAGGGGGTGGGAGGGGAAGGGTGGGGTGGGTTGTGGAGGGAAGGGAGGGGCAGGGAGGGGTGTGGAGGGGAGGGGAAGGGAGGGGAGGGGAGGGGAGGGGAAGGGAGGGAGCCCACATTCTCCCTGTTTCTCAATTTCTTCAAATCCCTCCTCCTCCATGAAGCCCTCCCTGAACATCTTTGTCTGAGTTTCTCTCTCTCTCTTCTGTGAGGGTTCTCACACTGCGTTTTCTTCTCATCTAAGTTACTATCTTGGGTCTATAAATCATATATATATGTATTCCTGTGCTGGGGGTTTCTTCAAGGAAAGAACTGTCTCTGTTTCCACTTCTGTGCCTCCTAAATATCACAGGAACAGTGCTGAGCAGGTGGTCAACACAATTGTCTTAAAGAGTAAGGAAGGTATGGGAGGGCCTCTGCTCAGAGCAGCCATTTGTCTCTCCCCAAGGAGAGAGCCAGGGGCCCTGGATGCAGCCTTTGCACTCCCCCACCCCACCCCAGCAGAGTAAGTGCCCACCCTGGTCCACAAGCTCAGCTGGCCCAGCCCATGCGATGAGATTTGAGGGCGCTCGATCTGAGGCTCACCAGGGAAATGCCGCCCCTCCCGGCCCAGCCTTCTGCACCCAGCCCCACTCCGCCCCCAACTCACCTCTGTGAAGCACATGCTTAACTCTTTGGAGTTGTCGACCTTCAGCCCCTGCTCCTGCGAGAGAGAAGGCGCCAGTCAGGACAAGTCACCAGGCTGTTCCTGGCCGGGCTTTGTCCAGAGACTTAGACGAGGCCAGGCACTGTTGGCTTCGCTAAGCACAGCCAGCACACACAGTCAAGAGGGGTGGCTCAATTCCACGCAGCACAGAATGCTTCTGTCCTTCTCTGACACCCTCAGCAATTAGGACCCGACTCCTCTGGCTCCTAGAGAACAGAGTTCTAACTCTGCTCCCAACTAGCAGCATGATATAGTCATCAGTCATTTGCATGTCTGTCCACATACTCAGAGCAAGTCTTGGGCAGGGACCGTGTCTTCTTTTCCTTACACTGAGCAGTGTCTGGTTCATAACAACAACTCAACAGATTCACTAGATGCCTGCATCCATGGAAGAATGAATGAATGCCACAGATCAGAAACGGCCTCCAAGGGCCAGCCAACTCCTGTTAATTTGCCATGGCTAATGGAGGACTCTATAGAAAAAGATCATAAGCGTTCATCTGGGCTTGAGGGGAAGAGAGGTGTGATTGATTAGTGATGTCTGCCACTGGTACCCATTAGGTGGATATCTGGCAATTTCACCAGCCCATTTCTGTCCTACACGAACGTGCCCACCTGGGAGCGCTATGGACAAGGTGAGGGATGAAGAAGGCTGGCTTGGTGATGATTCCAGGATTCTCTACCCTGGCATGGCCACCAGGATGCAGGGCCAGGGGGTGTGCATGATGAACAGCCCTCTGTTATCATCACTGTAATGGAGATCCATGGGGACCAGCTGGGGACGCAGCGCTTCCATCCAGGATTCAAACGGCTTGTTCCCAGGGCACTTCCGCTCTGGCCACCAGAAGCAACTGGGAAGCCCAAGAAATTATACCGCAATCACTGCTCTTGGCCATAAGTATCAATAACCCCTTGGACATCACAGGCAATCTGCCACCCAGGGCATCTGGTCAGCTAAACAAGACCCCAGCTGTCACACGGAGACCCTGGCCAAGAGTAGAGTCACTGCCAATGGTGGAGATAGGACCACGGTGATGATTAGCACAGCGAGAATGGAACCAGGAGTGTCCCCAGGTGCCAAGGTGATGCCCAGCCAACTCCCCAGCTGCTGCCCTCTGCAGAAGGGCCTGTGCTCTACAACCCTTCCAGACCCAAGGCCTGGACTCCACTCCCCAGGACTTGGTGCTGCTCCAGCTAAGACTGTGTGAGGCCACAGGGCGGGGTGTCGGGGAAAACAGAACACGCCCACCCCCTCGGAGGCTGTGCTGTCATCATGGCCTCACATCCGCCTTCCTGAGCCCCTTGGCCAATCCTTGCTCCGTCACCTCAGTCCCCACCTGTGACATCCTATGGCTTGTTGGAGTCTGTGCCTGTGGACTGATACCTACGGACGCCCAGCATCACTTCCTACTCTCATTGTTTCAGGTGTGGCAGGCCAGTCCCTGCCCTTTCTGGGAGTCCCTGTCTTATCCCTGTGTCCCTACCCCCAGTAGAGCTCACTACACCGTTGGGAGCCCTCTCCTTTGACCCCTCCCCCTCTCCTCTCTCCCCCCCCCCCCCCCCTCTGTCCCCTCCTCCTTTCCTGTCCCCTCCCCAGCTCGCGTCCCCTCCCCTTCTCCCCCTCCTCTGTCCCCTCCTCCTTTCCTGTCCCTTCCCCTCTCCCTCTCTCCCCTACCCCTCTCTCTCCCCTCCCCTCTCCCTCTGTCCTCTCCTCTCCTCTGTCCCCTCCCCTTTCCTCACTAAACCAAAGGAACCCACAGGGAATCACAGTGGCAGAAGCCCCCTGCACTCAAGGTCTCACCGCCTGTCCATCAAAGCAGCTCCATTTTTATTTGTTTTGTATATTTGAGTCTTAGCTGTTTTGTGTATCGGAGTCTTAGCTTATTTGTATATCAGAGGTACGCATAAAATTGTTTGGACAATAGTCTACTGCTTAACAAAATAAGGCTTGAGACAACAACCGACAAGAAGGGCCCCAGGGTGGGGCCTGCACAACATGCTGTGGCTGTGAGTGCTGCTCTCAGGGGAGCCTCGGACCTAGACACTCTCCAGGGTTACACCCAAGGTCAGCCCACGCAGAGCAGCTGACAAAGCACCCAGCACCTGCCAAGTGCAGCATTTTCCCTGGCCTGGGGTTTGGCCAGGTGTGAAGGGAGAGGATCTAAAGGCTCACAAGGGGGGACTGAAACTGGATTTTGCTCCTCGGAGTGAGCAGAACTTGACAAGTTCCTCTGAAACAGGATAGAGGGGAGGGGACACTGGCAAGTATTACACAGGAAAAATGACAGGGAAGAGGAGAGTGAAGAAAGGGGTGGAAGGAAGAGAGGAAACCAGGTGAAGGGAGAAGCAGACAAAGAGAAACAGGAAAGAGGGAGAGGGGAAGGGGACAGAGTAAGAGGTGAGGGGACACAGTAGAGGGAAGGGGACAGAGGAGAGGAGACGAGACAGAGGGGGGAGGGGACAGAGGAGGAGGCAGGGGACAGAAGGGGAAGGGACAGAGGAGAGGGGAGGGAAGGGGGAGGGGACAGAGCAGAAAAAAATGACAGGAAGAGGAGAGTGAAGAAAGGTGGAAGGCAGAGGAAACTGTGAAGGGAGAAGAAAGAGAAACAGGAAAGAGGGAGAGGGAAGGTATGGAGAAGAGGTGAGGGGACACAGTAGAGGGAAGGACAGAGGAGAGGAGACGAGACAGAGGGGGAGGGGGAGTGAGGAGGAGGAGGGGACAGAAGGGGAAGGGACAGAGGAGAGGGGAGGGAAGGGGAGGGACAGAGGAAGAGGGAAGGACAGAGAAGGGGAGAGGACAGAGAGAAGGGGATACAGAGAGGGGAGGGACAGAGGGGCATGGAGGGGACAGAGGAGGGGTGCAGGGGGACAGAAGAGAAAGGGGGCGGGACAGAGGAGGAGGGAGAGGAGAGAAGGGGGAGGGGGCAGAGGAAGAGAGGAAGGTGGAGGGAGGAGAGGGGAGGAGACAGGAAGGAAGGGACACAGCAGAGGGGGAGGGACAGAGGAGGTGGAGGGGACAGAGGAGGGGGCAGGGGACAGAAGAAAGGGGAAGGGACAGAGGAGAGGGGAGGGGAGAGAAGGAGGAGGGGACAGAGGAAGAGGGGAAGGGACAGAGAAGAAGGGAGGAGAAGAGGAGGGGACAGAAGAGAGGGGAGGGGACAGAAGAGAGGGGGAGGGAACAGAGGAGAGGGGAGGGGGCAGAGGGTAGGGGAAGAGACAGAGGAGAGGGGAGGGGCACAGGAAAGAGGATGGGACAGAGGAAAAGGGAAGGGACAGAGGAAAGGGAGAGGGGACAGAGGGAAAGGGGAGGGGAGGGCATGGTAAGGAGAGGAAGCTGAGGGACAAAGATAGCAGGAGGGGAGGGGACAGAGGAACAGAAGACAGAGGGAAGAAATAGAGGAAGGAGGCAATAGAGGGCCTGGGAGAGAACGAAGTGGGAGGCGAGGGGGCTGAGGACAACCACTGTACCATCTCATCTGATGCTGATTATCAGGGGACAGTGAAACACCTCCCTGGGCCAGCCCCAAGGGACATCTGCCCCAAGGCACGGTCTCTGCCAGGGGTGACAGAGCCCTTGGGTGGGAGTGTGGCCCAGCAGCTGACCTTTTCTGAAAGCGGCACCCAGTGGGGGGAGGGGCAGAGAGAGAGACCACCTCTGATGCCAAAACCACCAGTGTTTCAAATTCAGTGCCTCCCTACCCTTCAGGGGCTCATACTCTGACAGAGAAATAAACTTGCACATAACCACTGATATGGTCCGGCTGTGTCCCCTCCCAAATCTCACCTTGAATTGTAGATTCTATAATTCCTATGTGTCATGGGAGGGAACCGGTGGGAGATAACTGAATCATGGGGGTGGGTATCTTCTGTGCTGTTCTCCTGGTAGTAAGTCTCATGAGATCTGATGGTTTTATAGATGGGAGTTCCCCTGCACACGCTCTCTCTTTGCCAGTCACCATGTAAGACGTCCCTGTGCTCTTCATCTTCCACCATGACTGTGAGGCCTCCCCGGCCATGTGGAACTGTGCGTCCACTGAACCTCTTTCCTTTATGAATTACCCAGTCTCAGGTTATGTCTTTATTAGCAGTGTGAGAACAGACTAATACAATCGCCTTCACAGCAGATGAATACACAGAGGGGAGAGAAGGATGCCTGAGAGTCTAGGGAAACAGCCTGGGGCTTACTCCGTCCCTACTCAGAGCCTCTCATCCCCTGGAGGTGTCTGTGGCTCCAGTCCCAACATGCGCAGGCCTAGGCTGCAAGGATGGCAGGACACAGGGCTGCTAACAGCAAATCCTCCACTGTGGAAGCAGCGCGGGGACTCTGGGAAGAGCTGACCCCCAAGGGCTGCGCTGTGGGTGCCACCAGAAGCATTAAAGAACTGGCTCTTGCAGATGGCACTGAGGGAAGGACACACACACAGAGGAAGGACAGTGGGAAAGGCATGCTTCATCCTTCCAGAGCTTTCTCCCAGGGATGCTCCATTGCCCAGGAAGTGAGAAAGAAATTATTGTCTTCCTCCTCTTCCTTGCCCACCTCCTGCCTACCCCAAAAGCCTGGGCCAGCAGTCCCAGATCCTTGCTGGTCTAGTGTTTTCCTGCTGGCTGGAGCTGCAGCTCTCCAGCGCTCCCTGCTTCTGTCCCTGGCTCCACCCCTAAATCTCAGTGCCCCTGGCCTTCCTCCCTGACCTGGGCCATCCCCAGTAACTCACACCTCTCACATTGTCTCCATCACAACAACTCAACGCTGCCTGTGACAGGAGACAATGCAGACAGGGTGTGGTTGTGTTCCAGTAACACTTCATTTGTAAAACCAGGCACAGCAGACCACCTCTCTGCACAGGAGACCCCCACTCAGCACTCTGTGCTGTCCTAACTGTGCCTTGGCTCTGCTGCTGGTTCACCTGGGGCAGTCGCCCACTGCAACCCCACACCCATTCTCCCGATTCTTTTCAGGCCTAGCAGCAGGCGTTGCTACGCCCATGGGTCCTTGCTCTCCACCCCAGTCAATGCACTCTCTCCGTCCTCTGGACCCCATCATCCTCTATCAGTCCTACACGCAGCAGGTGCACAAATCACCTTCTCCCTCATAGCCATCTCAGCTTCATCCTGTCCGTCCTCCAGCACCGGGACCACAGTCCTGGCCCATGATGCTTCTGAGCCCTGGTGCCTGCGATGTAGTGATGTGCAGTAAGAATTTCTGTTGAGTCAATGAATGAATGCACTAACAGATCTCTTAGTCCCATGCTCTGAGGTCCACAGGCCTGTGTGCTGGGTAAGACACCCATGCAGGAGCAGGCAGGAGGAGGGAGGAGAGAGAGGTGGCCACTGGCTGCAGAGTCGGCGGCAGGCATGCAGTGAGGGGGCCTTGGGGCAATCTCTCAAAACTCATTTTTAATTTGCCCAAGATGTGATTGGCAGTCCAAATCACAGGTGGGCAGGTGGAGGCGGGGGGGGCAAAGAAGATGGTGTGTTGTAGGGCTCCCTGGTGCTGGGAAAGGTAGGACTCCAGCTGATCTGATGGGGCCCTGCAAATTGGCATTCTGGGCCCAGAGCAGCCCCAGGGGAGTGTTGGGGAGAACAGCAGGCCATGGCCAGGGAAGCACCAACCATCGCCCATCTCTCCCCAGCCCCCACTGCACTGCCCTGGTCCAGGCCCCATCATAAGACCAAGAGTCTGTAACAAACCTTCCTATATCTTCAACAGAAAAGCATCTTCACCTCTGCAGTTGCCCAGTCCTGTGCTTACAGAGGGCACCCAGGAGAAGGAGGAGAGCTGCGGGCACTGAAACACACAGACCCCATCCTCCAGGACAGCAGGGAGTTCCAATAAATCAAATGAACTGGGGACTCCGGGGTCTCTCTTTCCACCTGAATGGAACACCCACTCCACGCCAGGCACTGTGCACCCAGCTACGCAGGGTGACACAGGAGGGTGAGATGCTACTCTGGCCTCTGGGGACCCTGGCCTAGCAGGGGAGAGGAGAACACATCATGATGGGGCCATGAACACGCAGAGCGGGAGCCCAAAGCAGGCAGAAGGCAACCTGGTGTGGAATCGGAGAAGGCATTCCTAAGAGGTGACATCGGGGTAGGACGCACCAGGTGGAGAGGAGAGGGAGAGGGAAAGGAGAGACGTCTTGCTCAGAGGAACGGCCAAGTGCAGGTCAGCAGCGGACTCGCCCATCCTGCAGGCGTCCAAGACTGACCTGACACTCAGGTTCCCTGCTCCAGAGCCCAGTGGGGTGGAGAGAAGGGCAGGGGAATTCAGACGAGGTATATATTTAATAAACATGGGCCGGGCCAGAAGGCTCCAGGAGAGACCATTCTGCAGACCCTATCAGGTCTCTCCAAGGTCCACAGAGCCCCAGGCAGGCAGGGTTGCCCAGAGAGGGGGCCACACCCTGAAGGAGACACTTCTGAGAGGAGGACCTAAGACAGCAGCCACAGGGCCAACTCGGACGGGGCTCCTGGCTCTAGTGTGGTGGCGTCCAAGACACCCACAGCCCTTCTTAACAGCCCCACTCCCACCGTGGAAAGTCCTTTGCGGGGAGCAGATTTGGAGGAGGAGGAAGCAGAAGGTGGCCGGGGGACAGGGTTCCTGGCTCTTCTTGACTGCCAACTGGCTGTGGGGCTGCGGACACGCTGCTGTCATCACCAGGCCTCTGGTCGCTTGTGTTTGGGAAGATCTTGGAGGGTCCTTCAAGTCCTGACATACAGATACCCATGTAGGGACCCAACGGGCTACCATCTCTGGGGTTCCCTAAGCCTTCCCCCAAGGAAGAAGGAAGGACAGAGGTCAGCAAAATAATCTTGCCTCTGTCTCTAGGGTGTATCTACGGTGTACAGGCTCCCCCAACCCTTCCTCCCATCCAGGCTCAGCTCTCGGTCCCTGCAATCACTCAGGGACTCCTTCCTATAGCTGTGGGTGCCCCTAACACCCAAGGGCCCCACAAAGGCCACCACAGAGTCACTCAATCAGAGATGGTCCAAGCTAGGAGAGCTGAGAGACAGGGGACAGATGTGGGCTGGGGAGGAGGGAAGGCACCCCCGCCAGTCCCAGACAAGCCAAGGGCAGGGGCGAGGGCTTATTCACTTGACATTTCCAGCTCCCAGCATGGGACAGTAGGTGCTCATTAAAAACATTATAATTAAAACTGAATCAGAGGCCCTTCGTCTTCCATTTCTCTAAGAAACCTGGAGAGTAGTGGTGGTTGGACCCCTTTTGAGGGTCTATTTTTCCTCCTTTCCACCTGGGAGGCTCTCTCAGCTGTCCTGCCCAGACTGACTTAGTCCACAGGCCTCCAGCCACCCGCCAGGCAGCCTCCCCAGACCCCGGATTCGTAACACCTAACATTTGTGCAGCATTCCTCCACTGACCAAGCACTTTCACATAGATCATCTCACATACAGATCACCCGTATCTCCACTGAGATCAAACCAAGATTTGAGCAAGCCCCCCAATGGTGAGACCACAGAAAACCAGGCAGGGGCTAAAAGAAACCAAGTAACCGATGGCTTGGCAAACTGCAGGAGAAAAATAATTAAATGGGCCTCAGAATCATCAGGGCTGACGGAGAAGGGGGCTGGGTGGGGGTCCCAAAGCCACGGCTTTGGACTTTACAACCACAAGGAAGCACAGTGGGAGTCCTGGGAAGGTTGCCAGCATCCTCTGAAGTCAGCTTCTCTCCAGATGGGCCAGCCCAAGGGGCTCAGAACGAAGGGTGCATGCAGGAGGCTGGTGAGGTCTGGATGACCTGACAGGTGGCACAGCCCTGACTGGCCGAGCTGCCCGCCGCTCTAGCATGAAATTGAGCAATTGTCTGCAGAGTAGGACCCCGAGCCCCCTGCTCGCAGCCACTCAAGCATATCCAGTGTCATTAGGAGCTGCCCAAGGGTGACAACAGCACCTCAGCTCCAATCAGGAGGCGAGCGAAGTGGAAGGAGCAGGAAATAGAAGAGCTCCCCACCCAGCCACCAGGAGGGCACTTGGAGGTCAGCTGCTCCTGAGCAGGGGGGCACACAAGGGAAGTAGAAGGAGTCAGAAAGAGAAGGGGAGGGCTTCCCTAACCAGAACAGGCACACGCACTTCTCCAATGGGTGCCCAGGAAGGATTTGAACCCCCGCCAAGCTGGGTCCCTGCTCAAGCCTGCATCCTGGCACCGTGGATGTGCACTGTTGACCCTATGAGCCTGCTGCCCCACTCAGACGGGTGCCTCGCTGCCCCACACACAGCCAGGACTTGTTCCCCCCGCACCTGCGCCGAGGCTGCGCCCCACTGCCTGCTCTTCAGACCCCACAGCCTGCAAGGCAGGTATAACACTGTGATGTAACAGGGGTTTAACGCTTCCAAGATGAATGCCCAAATGAAGGAACAGGTGAAGAATGACCCCCGGCAGCTCCTCCCTGCCTCTCGGGTCCCTGATCGAAAGGGAGGACCCTCCCTCCCCGGCCTCAGCTGAGTCATTTCCCACACCACTTCCGGCGCCATGGTGCTCCCCCCACGCCTCAGCCACACCCCCCTCACCTGGACAGACGTGCAGGTAGTGATGACACTGGTCCCCAGACTGGTGCTGTCGCTGAGGTCATCTGGCAAAGAAGGCGTCTTCTCCACCCGAGGAGCCTGGGTGGCCTGGAATGAGGGGCCTTTAGGGGATACGTTCACATCCGTGCCGTTGCCAAAGGCCTGGATGGCGTTCCCTGAGATGGGGGTGAGGGTAGATGCAGAGAAGTCAGGACCCACGTCCATCACTCCTGTCCCTGCTCCTCACCGTGACCATCCCCTTCCCTGGAATAGTCCAGAAGTCGGGACAGGGCATGGTACAGGCAGATTCCCTCCACTGAACCTCTTTTTCAGATACCTACAAAGGTCTCACAGCTACAGAATATAGCAAGAGAGAGGTTAAAACACAAAGAAGCCAGAATAGCAAGAAGTGTACATGATGGGGAACACAGAAGAAAAAACGAGAAAAAGAAGGGGGTGGGATGCAGGGGAGCCTAGGGGAGGAGGGGGCCACCTCCTCTGCATGGTGCCAGCGGCCACACCTCCCGAAGCTCCTCATCCCCAGCTCCCTAGTCACAGGCTCTTCGGGGCCCTGTGCCTCCTCGGACGTTCCCAGGTCCCCACCCTGGCATGCTGGGGCCCCACATTCAGCCCTCTGCCTGCTCCACACCACAGGTTCTCCCTGGGTGGTCTCTGCTTCTCCCACACCATCCAGAGAGGTGCCCAGAAAATTCCCACCCCCACGTGCCACATGCACCTCAAGCTCGTTATGTCTAAGCCTGGGCTAGGTGTCTCCTCCCACCCTTGTCAACGCTCTTTTCCCTCTGACCCCTCATATTGCCGCCTTGAAGGTATCATCTCTTATCTACCCAGGTTCCCCATGTCAGAATCCTGAGGGTCACCCATGGTGCCTCCCTGCACACCTGCTGGCAGCCCGCTGAGCCCACCTCCTAAAGATCCCTCCACCCCATTTCCCATCGTTGTTCCCCTCCCACTGCTCTGGTTCACAGCCACCATTTGTGCCCCTGTAAGCAGCTACGATGGCCTTCTGATGGGCCTCTCTGGGTCACGTCACCTGTCGGAATTGATTCGGTCTGACCCCCACTGCCTCACAACGCAAGCAGATTCGCTTTCTGGAATGCTGATCTGATCTCACACCCTAGGTGACATTCCTTCAAACACCCGCACCACCACTGTCACCCCTGCAGGACAAGAAGATCTAAATGCCTCAGGCCTACAAGGCCCTGCATGACAAGGATGCTGTCTACCTGTCCAGATCACTCTTGCCACTCTGGCCATCTTCAGTGCTATGTAGCAAGGCTCTATGATTGGCAGTTCCCTCCACCCGCCATGGTCTTCTGTGGAGCCCAGGACCTCTGCCCAGGGTGGACTGGCAGGCACCCCCTGCCTCTTCAACTGACTGATGCCCAGCTAAGCATCCACAGATACATTTTCCAAGAAGCCTTCAGGGCCTCCCTCTTCCTGGCTGACTTGGGCATCCCCACCCTGGGCTCCTCAAGAACCCTGTGCAGACCCCTCCTCTAGAACAGCTCACTTGCACTGTGATCACGAGTAACCCCTCTCAGTCCACCTCCATCAGGCTATACCTCCTCAATGACTTGGATCCTTGAATCTCCAGTGCCACACAGAGGGAGGAACAGAAGGATGGAGAGATGGACAGAATAAATAAAGGAGGGAAGGAAATAGGGAAGAAACCTTCAGGTGGGCATGGGTGGCAATGGATGTTGAGCTGGAAAGATCAAAGGCAGACTGAGCTAGACTGGGGCTAAAGTCTCTCTAGCTTTTGGGTTAGGAGTTTGACGATGTGAAAGGAAGTCGATTCCAGGGACAAACAAACTCATTAAAGGGAGATATGACAGACGCCAGCGAGCCTCATAAGAGGGCTCAGTCTCCAAAGGAACCTGGCTGAAGCTGTCCCAGTAACAGACCAGACCAAATAACAGGCTTGACATAGGTTCAAGGCCTCTGGTGGTAAACTGAGGCTGGTCTACTGACAGTTCTGGTGTGAATCTCCAAGAGCTCAAAAACCAAGGTCCCCATGGGCAACACCCATGGCGGAGAAGCCTCATATATATCACCAGCCATCCCCACGGAAGGAGATGGGAATGGCCAGGACAGACTCCAGGAGGGGTGGGAGGGGCTGCTGGGGTTGGGGAGAACATCCGGAACTTACGGAGGCACGGGTTCTCAGTGAAGTCCCGGAGGAACTTCTCACACTCCTCCTCCATGTTCCCGCTGCCACGACAGCTGCACCAGGGGGACACCACGATGCCAGTGGGGCTGGAGTCCACATAGTTGGGCGTCATGTCAAACCCTGGGCGGGGAGAAAGGTGGGGAAGAAGAGAGAGGTACAGTGGGGCCTTCCCCTTGGGCCCATAGACCGACCCCAGGCACAGCAGGGCAGAGTCCTGGTACCCATCCTCTCACCTGGCCCCCAAATACACATCCATCCCAATCACACTCCTAACTCTGAGCATGACTATCCCAGGGACCATGGGGTCAGCAGCAGCAGAGGGTCCAGCAGCATAGAGGACACTGGGCTCTTCGCCACCAGGAAGGCAGAGAAAATGCCCTGGAGCCCCTCCCAGAGTGTGGGCCCGTGCTTTCTCCTTCACCAACAAGCAGCCAGTGTTCTAGAATCAGGGTGAATGAGGCTCACGTCCTGGGATCGGACCCCAGTGCCAACATTTATCAGCGAGGTGAGCCTGTGCAAGTGACTCAACTTCTCTACAGCCTCAGTTTCCTCATCTATAAAACGGAGATATCACCAACCCCCTAGCAAGAGCTGTTGGGAGAATTCAGTAAGACAGGCCATGTAAACTGCTCAGTGCAGAGCCTGGAATGTCAGAACCATGCTACAAATGTTACCTTTCCTCCCCCCCGGAGATATCACTAACCCCCTACAGCAAGAGCTGGGAGAATTCAAAGTACAGGCCATGTAAACTGCTCAGTGCAGAGCCCGGGAATGTCAGCAGGAACCATGCTACAAATGCGTTACCTTCCTCCCCCTCTTTTTTTTTTTTTTTTTTTTTTTTTTTTGAGACGGAGTTCCCGCTCTGTCAGCCCAGGCTGGAGTGCAGTGGCACGATCTCTGCTCACGCTCTGCCGCCTCCCGGGCCGACGCCATTCTCCTGCCTCAGCCTCCAGAGTAGCTGGGACTACAGGTGCCCGCCACCACGCCCGGCTAATTTTTGTATTTTTAGTAGAGACGGAGTTTCATCGTGTTCATCAGGATGGTCTCGATCTCCTGACCTCGTGATCCGCCCGTCTTGGCCTTCCAAAGTGCTGGGATTACAGGCGTGAGCCACCGCGCGTGGCCACCTTTGCTTCTTATTTCAAAAGCTTAGAAGGCTCCTGGGGCCCTCCTCCCCACATGATAAAGAGCTGGGTCCTCCTCCTTGCTGCAGAACTGCATTTCCGCTGGTTTCCCCTCACAGCTCTCTCTGAATCTGCTGCAGAGAAGGCCAGGCTCAGGCTGTCTCCCCTGGCTGGCCCAGAGCCGGGCTGCGGCCCCTACCCTGCTGAGATGGGGACAGCAAGGACCCACAGAACCCAGGTGTGCAGGAACAGCTTACCAATCATGCCAGCATAGGAGCCCAGACACGCCTGGTAATTGTCCGCAGGGCAGCTGGTGACCGTCTGGTAGGAGGCTCGACAATTGGCATGGAAGTCGGCCAGCCGGGACCTGGTGGCGGGGAGAAGACGAAATGGAGAAAAGCGGTTCAGTCTGGCTGCCTTCTGTCTCCTCTGTCCTGCCAGTGGCATCTCCTCCCTGCAGCTTCCCAGGGTGGAAGAAGCCAGGAAGAGGGAGGGGAGGAAAGTCGGGGGAACCAAGTCTTTGTGGGGGCTCAAGCTGTGAGCTCCTTGAGGACAGAGATTTCCCGGAGAGACAGGCACATAGTGCGGCTTAAGAAAAACTGAATGATTGGCTGATGCAAAGGACCCCACAAGGCACAGAAACAGCCTGCTCTAAATGGCTCTTTTAGGCAAAGGAACACAGGGAGGAGCTGGGTGGGTTTGCGGAGAATGCCTGGACCCCAGGCAGGAAAGCTGGGTCCACCTTCCGTGGGGCTGCAGTCCTGGATGAGCCTGCCCAAGTGCTTCAACCCAGCACTGCAAAATCCCACCTGAAAAATGGGTGAATAGTCCCTTCCCTAGATGCTTCATAGGACCCGTCTGAGGGTCAAGGAAGCCACTGGCCAGGGAGACGAAAGAGTCTCCCTGGGTGAGACATGCCACAGGCATCCTCTACTGGTCTGTTCTGCGGTAAGCCAGAGCAAAGGCTCCTCTGCCACCCCTCCACCCCTACCCCAGTTCCCTATCCCACTCCCACCAGGCAGAAGTGGCCTTCCCTTCCCCTGGTGACCATAACACGCCATCACCCATTCCCCTCTGTCAGCATCGATGACACTGCATGAAAACTCCTTGTGCATAGCTCTATGCTCCCCATTGGGCCACGAGCCACTTGAAGTCAGACAGTGTCTGAGCTGGGTCTGTCCCCAGACCTCAGCTCCAGACCTAGACATGGAAGGTTCCACGGAGCACAGGGCATCCAAGTCTAGTATAAATGACGATCTCCATTCCTTTCTCTTCCCTCCTGCCCTGGGCCCTGGCCAGGAATGTTACCATCAGCCTGGGCTTGGAGAGGATGCTCCCCTCTCTGCCATGTCAAGTGACAATCATCACCTTCTACAGGTGAGTGTCCTTTGCCACACACACAGACACAGCCCTTATGTATCACATCAACTATGTCTCACAGCAGCTCCAAGCAGCTAGTAATAAGGTCTGTTCACGAATATTTCCCAATGATGGGCACACAGCAGGACTTCAGCCACCGTGCACTCCATGAGAATTCTATGGCGACTCGACAAGCTAGCTGCAGGATGGACCAGAACCCAGGTCACCCAAATCCCTTGCCCACACCCTTTGCACATATGGAACCTCATGAAGCCATCTCCAAGTTCACCCCAGGTTCAGCTCCCCTGGTTCTCCACTGGAACCCTGTCCCATTTGAGAAAGGAACAGGTAGAGGACAGAGAGAGACAGGAGGCTGAGAGGGACTGAGCCAGCCTGAGCCAGGAAAATGCAGGCTTTCCACGAGAAGGTGCTGGTGCCTGCTGAGGGGGCCCCCATCATGCAGGCACGGCCTGAGTGTGTCCCACCACTGGACAAATTCATTTCTCTAGAGGCCCCCGTGATCCTGAGGGATGAGTCTGAGAGAAGAAGGAAACCCTCCTGGGATGTGTCCCAGACCCCTGCAGGCTGAGAGAAGGCCATGGGCACCAAACCAAGAGTCAGCTCAGCTCTGCCCTAATTCACTGGGTGGCTGTGCCCGAGTTCCCTGCTTCTCAGGGACTCCAGTGTCTTATGTATCAAATGAATAAAAAGCACTCTCATTAGCACTTTAAATGGCACTTGAACAGTTTGGGATGATTCAAAAGTTCTGGAGATGGATGGCAGGGAAGGTTCCAGAACCATGTGAATACACTTAACACCACTGACTTGTACACTTACATGCTACATTTTCTGTTATGTGTATTTTACCACAATGATGGTTTAAAAGGTACTTTCATATCCATCTTTTACTATTTAACCCTCACAAATGCTCCGTGAGATCTGACAAGCAGTTATTATTATCCCATTTTAGAGATGAAGCCGCTGAGCCTCAGAGAAGCTAAGCAACTTTGCCCCCAAGATCAGAGTCACTGAGTAGTGGAGCCAAGACTCAAGTCTAGAGCTCCAACAAGGTGGGCGCCATTTCCCAGTGCTCCTGTGTGGGAGGAGGGTCTGGAGTCCTTGAAGGCCCTTCCAGAGCCATCATTCTGCACCTCAGGAAAGCAATGTCTTCCACAGGAAAAGAGGAGGAAATCTGCAGTTGTCTCTGCCTTCTCTTCTGCCCAGAAATGCACCCTCCACTTCCTCAAAACAAGCAGCAGCAGCATTTCCAAGCAATCCTTCACCCCTGCAGGCGGCGACTCCATCTCAAATGTCAAAACCCACACCCATCCCCCTCCGCAGCCAGCAAATCAGAGTGCTGTGAGAGGGGAAGCAGGGGGGGTCTCCATGTCCCAGACCTCCAGAGACCCAAGAAGTGGCTTGAGAGGAGACAGAGACTCTAACAGGTAGATGGGATTTAGAGACAAAATCTGTTGAGTTGAATTTGCCCCACCCCCCAAAAAAAGTTGCAGTTTTAATCCCCAGGCTCTATAAACATGACCTTAGTTGGAAATAAGATCTTTGTAGATGTAATCAAGTTAAGATGAGGTCACAGTGGATTAGGGTGGGCCCTAAATCCAACGACTGGTGTCCTCATCAGAAGGGAAGAGATAGACACACGGGAAGAATGCCATGAGACAGCAGAGGCAGAGATAGGAGCGATGAAGCCAGAAGCCAAGGAATGCCCAGCGCTGCAGCAGTGCCTGAAGCTAAGAGAAAGAGAAAGGCATGCAACAGACTCCCTTTCAGCCTTCAGAGAGAGCATGGCCCTGCTAACACCTTGGTTTCAGACTTCTGGCCTCCAGAAAAGCAAAAGAATAAACTTCTGTTGTAAGCCACCCAGCTTGTGGTACTTTGCTACAGTGGCCCCAGGAAACAAATGCAGCCCTTTCAAAGACTTGACTGTTGGCTTTGGCCAAATGTCTTCCTCCAGAAGAAGCTAAGGGCATAGGATCAGGTCCCAGCACTGGAATGGGCTGCAGGGGGGCAAGAAGATAAAAGGCAGGACCTAGCTCCTTCAGGGTGTGGGACAAGCAGGCCACTCAATAATGAGCAAAGCCGCTGGTTCCCATACTCTCCCCACCAAAGGGCATCCAAGCACCAGGTCTTAGCTCTAATGCAGGAGTCCATTCTAATGCCAGGCCGTCGCACATCAGGCTCACCTTTCTCCTGCCCCACCACCAGTTCCTCCCCATGAAGCCCTTCCCACCTAGCTGTGTGGATTTCTTCCATTTCCATATTCTAGCTACACATACATAGCCTGGACCAGGCAACTGAAAGCTTCATTGCACGAGGAGTTCCTGATTTTGCCCTGCTGGGTTTACTCCAACTAGAACACACATTCCCAGAGTGGCAGACTCCGTTGATCTCCTCATCCATATCCTCCACAGCTGCACCTCTGGGCAGGGACGAGGTGTAGAGCGCCATGCATCCCTTCTCCAAACACACATCGAGCCCTGCCGTGTGGCTAACAGATAAAAGATGGGAATGGCAAGTGTGGATTCAACATCAGAAAGGAAACCCCAGATAAGGGGGCCGGGGTAGAGTGCCTGTGGGCCAGGGACTGGGGCAGTGGGAGGTCACGGCTTGCTTATCTCCCTGGGGGAGCACACTGCCCACCACAGCAGACGGGAGGGCCCACACACTCTCTGCAGGTAATGGGAGCCTCCCAGGCAACGCATTTCCCACCCAGCACACAGGGAGCCTTGTTTCCCTCCTGCAAGGCCAGTTCTCCCATCCCTGACATTGGGAACCCTCAGGACCTCAACTGGCCTCCTCAGCCATGCAGCTTCTCAAATGTCTCCAGCCCCACACGCTGGAGAAGGAACAGCAGCATGAATGGGGAGTACAAGGCTACTGCTGCTTTGCCCTTTGGGGAATCCCAAATATTTCCCTGATGGGCCACAAGGAGAGCAAGGCCATAGGGAGAGAGGCGGGAGTAGAGGAAGCCAGCCAGGAAACAGAAGGTGAAAGCATCCAGACCAAGGTGGGGCTGGCCAGGGGGACTCCTCAGGGAAGAGGAGAGGAGCAGACCCAGCCACTGGGAGAGGAGGGGTTATCCCTCGCTCGCTGGCTGTGTGACCCTGGGCCGGCCTGTCATGTCTCTGGGGCTAAGTGTCCCCAGTGAACAAACAAGGAGAGTCACGCCTGCCAACCTCCCCACTTGGGCTGCAAAAGAGAGCTAAGGAGACAGTGCGTGAGGGCGCTCGGAATGGCAGGCACTCGATGGAGACAGGAGGCATCATCCTCATCTTCCTTCTCTGCCTAGCGCTGTGCCTGCCGCTGCAAGTGCACAGCAGGATCAGCTTTCCCTGGTGTCTGATACAGAAGGAAAAACAGACACACTTATCCTGCAAGGTGGATCTGGGTCCCACACAGGGCAAGTGACCGCATCAAGGAGACGGGGCTCCCTCTTGCTCTCCCATCCTACCGTGCCCCAGCCTACTGGAAACCAGGGCCTCCTGACCCCACTGTCCTTCTCCACGTCATGCTGGGGACACAGGAAGAGGAACACAGCCCTTAAAGCAGAGCAATGCACACAAGGCCCCTTGGCTAGGCCCCAGGTGACCACTGACAAGAGCACCTCCTCGCTCCTCTGAGGTTATGACCCACCTCTTTGAAAGCAGGCCTGATTGCTGGTGCCAGGGCCTTGGAGAGCTATTCATAGCAAAGGGAGGGGGAGAACACAGGCCTGAGGCCGGCAGACAGCAAAAGGGACAGCAAAGTGAAGAGAAGCAGCTAAGCCTTCTGTTCCTCCATTGCTCCATCCTCAGCGTCCAGCAGCCTTGGCAAGAGAAAGTGACAAATGGAGCTATTTAGGAGGACACAGAGTCCAAGACCAAGGCTCCAGGAGGCCTCTGATTGCTCAAATTTCTCTCTGCCCCTCCATGTGTGATCAAGTCCACAGTAGTGGGCTCCCTCTGCCAGCATTAGAGACCACGTAGTGTCAATTTCCTTCAAGCCCTGGAC